AATTAATTGTTGCTGCTTTGAATGTTCTAAACAAATATAAATATAAACCAACTTTTATATTATATCATAACAAATAATCTTAAATTAATTGTTTGTTCTCTGTCCCCTTGAGGTTTAGTTTTGGGATCAAATGAAACAAGAACCTAAAGTCAGTCAAGTCGAATATATTTCTTTTCATTTGACAGTTTTATACATTAAAATAATAAATATATATATTCTTCAAACTAACTAGCAGAACTAAGCCTATTTGAGTGCAATCCAACTTTGAGTAACAAGCACCACCAGCCTCTCCAGTGTAGCCCCCATAGTCACGGTCTCCTCTATGTAGCTGCAGAGGACTTTGTCAGTGTCACTTGTTAGCTTCATTACTACATGACAGCTCTGGCCTGCAGTCTGGGATCAAACACATCCTCCATGTTTATACTTTATTATTCATTTGAGCCTGCTGTGTCTTCCACTTCTGCCATTCTTCTGCTCAGCGTTTTGTCCTGGAAAAATGAAGAAGAAAATTCCAGCTGGCATCCGTCAAAATGTTTGTGCTGGACAATTCCAAAAATCTGGGAGGTGCACATTGGTCCCCTTTATCTGGGATGCATAAAGACCAAATCATTCACACTCGGATTGATGCTCAGCAGGGTGCAGGGTGGTTAAGATGCATTTTCTCTATGCTGTTTGAAAAGAGATGCCTTCTTAGGTTTAAAGACCAAGATAATACTGGCTCCTGCGGTTCCCCCCAAAGCTCTCACGGAGAAAGAGGATTTAAGGGAATGGGTCTGGGCACAATCTGATACTGTTTTCACTGCTCTTTTGGGCTGTTTAAGCCAATATTATGGCACAGAAGTGGCAGGACCACCATACCAACATAATGCAGTGCTTCTTAAACAGTAAGAGAGCTAATGGTGGAACATTATCTTCAGCTGGTGGAACACTGTTTATGTCCTGATTTAATTTAACATTACTGCAGTCTAGTTTATAGACATGTTCAGTCCTGATTATATAAGTAGAACTGTAGACTCTTTATTGATCTTGTGATACCTGATTTCACAATGATAATCCAATAGTTAGTTTCTCCAATCCTGATTTTAGGCACATTTGACACAACTTAATATTGCCAAACTGCCAAAAACTCAAATTCACAAGACACATTGCACCAATTGTGTAGACAACCCATTATTGACAAATCTCTATTGGCTCTTGCTTAAAACATAATTCCAGACTTGTGTTATTAACAGACAAAAACAAATTTAAAATGGCAATAATTTTGTCAGGCACCAGGGGGATAAAAAAATAATTTCACCATAAAGCCTGTGGGCGCTGCACATTTCATCTGTAAAAATAAGAGCTTAACCTGACAAAGATTGTGAAGTCACCACCAGGACCAAACTGCTCTCTCTCTCCAAGGGTGTAATAACAGATGATCCCAAAATTGAAATAATTACTTTGCGAAGGATTTGATTCTTTCACAACACATATCAACTTTGTTTTTCAAGTGAAATTATTGACTCGAGGAATCCAAAGTTCCAGGCGGCAAATTGTTGCCAAAATATTCAAAAGTAATGTAATTTCACAGCACAAAAAATAAAATATATAAAAATACATAAATGATGCTTCCGTTACATGAAGACCTAAATTAGTGTTAAAAACACTAGAAATTCTAATGGAATTAAAAATTGTATTAAAAACATATTCTTTAGAACTTTTCAATACTGCATCACTTTCCTCCACTGCATATTTTGCCCTTATGGAAATCGTTGACTTTTATGGTGCACTTTTCTTAAACCCATGAAAAACATGAAATAATCCTGACTCTATCCACAAGTGGTGTAAAGTTTCAGAGTGCGTTGAGCTCCTAAAGGAAATAACTGATTCTTGTGAAGATAAATGCGGTGCCGTGTTCTGCGTCTGTCTACAGGTAGATTGGAAACATGTTGGAGAGGCCCTGTCAAACCAGCTTTCACTAGTCAGTCTCTCTTTCTCTTTCTCTCTTTCTCTTTTTCTCTCTATCTCTCTCTCCATACTTGTACACGATCAGAGCCATGACTGTGACTGTGGGCTGTACTAACACTGCAACAGTTTATACCAAAGCACTCTGTGGTTTTTCACATACTTAGTGTGGAAAGTCATTGGATGTTAGCTGCATTGATTTGATCATTTGATGGTCAGATGAGCCTCACATTTGCCTCAGACACAATCTTGAACTATTACAGCTATGAAGTATTTATGTGAAGAGTTCAAAAGTTTATTATTTTCCGTATGAATGTGTACATAAAATGGAAATAAAACCTGTATTTGAAGAATTAAAATATAGATACATTTTTACAATACTGTGGAACATTCTAGGCAAAACAGTAACACTTTTATGCTAATGGACATTACCAGTGGTGAAACGTAATAAAGTATAAGTAGTAATATTGCGTAAAAATGTTAGGTATTTGTACTTCATTTAAGTATATTTTAAAGTGGATACATTTTACTTCACTACAATTCAGAGAAGGTATCTGTATGTTCTACTCACAAAATTTTTAACACATTTGAGCAAACAAAAATATGCAAATAAAAAGTTTCTGCTGATCAAAATTCAACACAATCTTTACATTTGAAGCTTCATTATATCTCAAAATCAGCGCAAAAATAGTCTTAGTACTTAGTCTTTGAGTACATTTTTAAACTGGTACTTTAATAGTTTTACTTAAGTAGATTTAGTTTGATACTTTTACTTTTACTTGAGTATTTTTTGCTGTAGTGGCTGTACTTCTACTTAAGTAACAAAATTGAGTACTTCTTCCACCACTGGACCCCACATCAGAAAAAAACGGTTCACCTTTAAGTAGCAAAAGCAGTGTTTAGTATGATTGACATTATAGCAGTTACTGTAGAAGTAGTAGTAGAACTGTTATTAGAATTGATATATAGACTTTAGGGTAACAGTCAAGTTAATCCTAGCAGAAGATTTTGGTTTCAATTTAAAAAGTCCTGGGGGCAATGCACCATGACATGCTGCATAATGAAGTCTGGAGATCTCAAAGCTGTAGATGCATACAGTTAATGTGAATTTCTGATAGCTCCATGTATTCTGTTTCTCACATCCCGTTCAGATAAAACTGCACAGACACAGGCACACGGGTAGCAGATGCTAAACAGCGTAATGTTTGTGAAAAGGTTTGCCTGAGCTGATCTTGTATTTGTTTTGACGAAACAATTTCTGTTTTTATTTGATTTGGAGGAAACATGCTCTGTGTGAGATGATAGGAAAATCCTTGAGCCATCTGCAAATGCCTTCAAAAGTATTTGCAGTATCAGTCAAATATTAAAGTCAAAACGTGACACATGAAATTATGTGTCAGTATTCCTTCTAATCACTCTGTCTGGAAATAAGCAGCATGAAGCCATATAAAAAAAGAATAGTCCATCTCATGTGTTCTCAACCCAAATTACGCGTGGCTGTCCTTGTTAGTTTCTTGAATTTCTAATGCTTTATTTACATTTCTGTCATTTAGAAGTTAAATTTGCATTTCCTCTTATTCATGCTGCCAGATATTATTCAAAAGTGATTGCGTTCGGTTCCCCCTTGAGCATAAGACCCACTAATTAAACAAGGAAATAGGGTATGCTGGGACTCTGATGCAACAAATCTGTAATGTCAGGCTTCTCATTTTAATATACCATTGTAGAGTGTTTGTAAGGGGAAAATACAAGGAATTCATACAAAAACAAGTTACATTTAGCAGTACTGCACTATTTGGGATTTCTATTGCCATCTTTGCTGGCAGCTCACTTTCACTTTTTAAGCGTCTTATCAGACTAAGGAGTATGGCAGCAGGCTATGATCTCCAGTCATGTGATTAGCGTCTAAAAGCATATGAGGGTTTTCTATCAGCATTTTGCAGACTTTTACTTTGTAGGCCTGAGCCAAGACCTCTGCTGAACTATTTGTGTGTCCTTTGAAGCTCGGAAAGGACACTTGGAGTCCACTAAAGGTCAAGTTGGTTATCCCGCTGAGACAGACTGATTTGTGGCTCTACCTTTCAGAAGACAGGCTACCTAAGCTACTCCGCTGTGTAAAGCTGCAGGTGACAATGACTAATGGACTAGTCTACTGGTATTTAAAATGGGATAATTAGGGCATGTCATGTAAATTATCGTTTGTGATGCATTCGTTTGGCATAAACTATTTTTAAATCTTCAGAAAAAAGAGAGTCACTAACAGTCATATCTCAAATAACTGAAGTAAATTAACCCATGGCAAGGGTTTGAGGTGCACGCCAAGACTTGTAGATGTGGCTCTTGTTATTTTTCTGTTGTAAAGATAGAAACTATAATCTCCAACTGGAAGTATTCAGTTTGTATTCCAAAATAAAATTGTAGCCTGGTTGTGTTGTGCTTAAATGACACTACTCACTACTATTACTGCGTCATAACACAATATAAGATTACCAGAATGTAATCATATTTTTAATGCATAAATCTTAGCATTCATTGTCATTTTTGTAAATGTATTCTTCCTAAACACAGCGTAGTAGGTCATAGCCAATTTCTGAGTCAAAATGACTACTACTTTAGGGTTGTTAAAAGACCATGACTTTGTCTCGTGTCAATATGATATGACTAAATCCTATGTATATGTATATGTATATGTATATGTATGTATGTAGGTAGGCAAGTAGGTAGGTAGGCATGTATTTTCATGAATCCCAGATGCAAATTCTCCCATCTTCTCAAAACCTAGCTTATACAGCTTAACATTTAAAACCTTGCAGACAATCTAACACTGAATATTTTTAGTAAGGCTCTAAAGGTCATGAGCCACGATGCACTCCAATTAGAGTTTTAGTCAGATAATTGGAGAATTCCCTTTTGTTTTATTGTGAAGGGTCGCGCCGGATGTCCCTCTATCGTATCCTCACGAGCTCTTGATGCTGCTGCTATGGTAACAGTGGGCGGGGTTATCTGGTGCCACTCTGGGCTTGATGCGGAGATGAAGCGCAAGTCCTCGGTGACCACATTACTGTAGAGAGCCGTGCGAGCCGCTCCAGCTTACAACTTTTGCCGTGCGCCGTGCGTCCTCTTCGCGGACTTTTACGCACACCTGGCCAGACATTCCGCCTCAATTTGGAGCAAATTTTGCGTGAAAAAACGGGCCGAGCTGGACCTGTCGCACACATCCACAACAGCAGTAGCAGATTGGGGTGGTTGTGCGTCCATGCTGCCCAACAGTCTGGTGAGTACAGCCGCACCATGATAAGACTTTGGATGATTGTTTGCGAGGCGTGACAAGGCGACGTGGGAGAAGAAAAGAAGAGGCTGATAATGAAGCTTATCTGAGCTACTAAAAGGCATGCAAGAGGTGCCCTACCTGCGGATCCAGTGCAGAGCCCCCGCGACGAGTTTAGCTGAGGGGCAGAGATTGGGGAGAAGTCGTGTGGACAAAGAGCTGATTTAATCTGGGGATAGCCTACTACAAGTTTGGACCATGCTTTCCTTGTGCTGACAGAGGACTCGGTTGGACTAACACTAAGGGACTCTTGTGTTGTTTTATCGGTCACACACAAAGACGAAGTTGGCCACGCACAAGTTTGTAGTAACAACACCACGCTCGTTTACGGGGCCCGCTGTTAAACGTGCTCCGTATCTAACATCGATCTACCGTGTAACATTACCAACGTGCACTTAGCCTGCTGAGAGTGTCCTGTGTTGCTGCGGTGTTTTGATCACAGGCTCTCCAGAACTTTAAATGCGGACTGGTTTGCGGTCAGAGAGTGCACAGCCGAGTTGCCCGTGCCTCTGGCCATTTCATTTAAGCATAAAGTTTGCGTTTTGTCTCTTTGCTAAACCGCTATGGAGCTGACGCACAGAGGCGTTTTCTTGTTGTGGTGCATGGTCTTGGACTGGACTCTTCGGATCTTTGCAGAGGAGGGTGAGTCTGGAAACACTTTATTTGTTTATTTAAGATGTAATTGTTTGGAAACTCAGATAATGTTAAATTTACGACTTCATTTTCTATTTTAAATATATTATGGATTTTTATAAAATTGTAATAGCCTCGTAGTGCAACTTCTTGTATCCAAAATGTGTTTATCTCCTGTCTGTCTAGATAGCAACCCTGATCAAGCACGTCCTCTGTGCTTGAAGAGTCCTTCCTTAATTCACTGGTCTTATTGATTCAACAGAATCATTGTAACTAAGAACCTTGTACCAATTCTGAGCAATGAAGTCAAGACTATTGTATGAAAATATGTGCACATCCATGGAGGCAACAACATTATGAGCCTTCTGTTGTGTCCATATTTCTATATCTTACTTATTTCCATTGGGTTTCATATACCACAGTAGTAAAATGGTAATGCATTTTCGAGTTTACCTAATAAAACTTACAATCATCAGTGGTACTACCGCTGCTGTACGGATAACCCAAATAAAAAGGACCTCCATCTTCCTGTGTTATAGCCATTCTGAGCGCTGACACCCCAGTAATAAAACTGTCCATTTGGCCTCCTGATATGTCCAGGAAATCCATTTCTAAGACCCCACTGCAATTACTTTTCAGTTTGAAGTCATCAAAAGGTTCCCAGGGCTTGTTCCTCAGGGACCCTTAACAAGCTTACCCTAAAATCAATACTAAAACATTCTGGCATTGAGGCTAATACACAAGGCTGATGTGATTGCTGTAGCCTGATGGTGCGTCTCCGGCCTGTGGTCAGAAGCAGTGCACACAGAGAGAACACAGATGGACGTTTAAAAGGCATTTTTAGCCCATGGTATTGACCAGGGGAGGGCCCGCATGTGAAGCCTTGCAGGAGATGCTTAAATCCAGGCCATCATTTGCATTAGCTTCAGACAGCAGACTTGATGTTAATAGTTAGATATAGCCCCGGATCGGCTTTGTGAACCCTGGAAGGACGATTGATAAAGACCCAAATTAGCTGTCATAATGCAAGAGAGAAATGATGATGAATAGACTAAAGTGGTGGGTTTCTTTTAGCTTAGCAGCATCAGTCAGCATGGTGATCATTTGCCTTATTCCACTGTCATCAGTATGTTTTGATATGCTTTGTGACATACCATGTACCATATTTCATTTCAAAACTCTGTTGGTTTTTCAAGTCTCGAGTTATCAGAGCAAATCTTTTAACATGCCGTGAGCAGCATAATGATTGGGCTCAGGTTTTATGCCTGATGCCCTTCCTCTCTCTCACATAGACCAATTTTATTGATCCACATAGGAAATTACCTGGACACAGCATCTTGCACATTGCAATATAATAACAAAGTGCAAAAAATAGATGCTAATAAGATTCAAATTACAAAATAATAAAATTATCAGAAGACTTTTGCAGAATAAGGTACAAATGTTTATTTAAAAGTGAAATAAAATTTTGTAAATAAATGGAAAATATACCTAGGCTATATACATTAGGAGATAAAGTGAGCAGAGGAAATGGTGATTTGACATGATTTAGTGTTAGCTATAAGGGTGAATTGTTTATATGTAAATATGTATATATGTATGTTGTTCATATATATATATATAGGCTTAACAGACACACCTGTTGGATTATTATTGTTTGTATAAAAAACTAAAAAGACTGAACATAGTTGAATATTAGTGTAAAAGCCTCAAGACTTTACACTTTATTCTTAAGAAACTGAACCATTTGTGAAACTTTCTGTTGTACTATCAATTCTTATCATGGCAGCCATTTAATTGAGAATGACACTACATATTTGGAAAGGAAATGGGCTTGCTTCAAATAACAATACTCTCTCAAACAATGAAACAAAGTTGGTCTTTTTGTATTTGCCCAATCCGATCGATGGTGGCAGTAAACAGGAACAGCGTGTGAGCATGCCTGACTTCACATATTCTGTGGCAGGAACACAAATCTGTCAGCCGCGTCTGTTTTTGTGCTGGTCACTTTGTTAGAGCCACACTGGATGCCTTTTCTGCAGGAGTTTTATGACTTCATGCTCTAGACTTTCAAAGCCCATGGGTGTAGTTTGTGTAATGACACCCGTGGATTACTGAAGGGTGTCAGGTGATGGTGGGGTTGGTGTGTGTGCGGCTCCAGTTCAAGATGTTGCGACATGAAGTTGAACATGGAAAGTGTTCTTTTTTGACAGAAGAATCATGGGGATTTTGTTGTGAAAATCTGCAGACGGAGATGAAAAAAAAAAAAAAAAAAAAGCAGAAGTTGGAGGGGATTTTTGGGATTTTTGCTTTCCATGACACATAGAAATGAGATGAGAAAATTATTTTGTTATTGTTGGCTAATACAGCTGTATAATTTCAACTTCTATGACAACTTCTGTTAACTAGTAGCATTGTTTGCATTGCCTGAGAACAGTGGTTCACAATTGACCATATTTATGACTGTATTCTTAATGTTTTCATTGTGAGTAAATAGAAAGAACCATATATTTTATAGCTTTCTAATCCTGTATTACTTCCTGCTCCAAAACAATGCTAGTTATTTGTCAAATACTCTGGGCTGGACTAATGACTTGGTGTAACTGAAACTCCCTTAACAGCTTAACACCTTCTGTGATGGATCGACTTGGTGATGTTTCCAAACAGGTGTAGCTCCAGCACAATGTGGGCCACAGGCGTGAAAAAGGCGGCATCCAAACCAGGGCTTGTACTGCGTCCACCAACCGCCGTGGCATCTGCCTCTCTCGCCAAGTGTGAACAAGACGTCTAGTTTTCATGTCTGGGGTAATGGGCCCCCTCTCCCTCTGCCAACACACACCGGATCGTCCCACCCTCTTGTCCTGCACCTTGTAGGGAATACTGTAATGAACTGATGGGAGGGCAGATGAAGCGCCCAGCTGCCAAATCTCTCCCTCCTTTAGCTCCAACTAAAGGATAAATGAGTCACTTACACACACCACTTGCTTGTTGGTACGCCGCGTGGCTTGCTCTCGTTTCCTTCTGTCTCTGTGAAAGATTAAAACACAGACCTCTTGATCAGATAATTACTTGGCTTGAAATTAATAACAAGCTTTGGGTGGAAATTAGTCTGGAGGACTCGCTAGATCTCACTACACCGAAATGCAGGCACACAGCTCTTGTACCCTGACACATAAAACACCTCCAAAAGTATAAAACCTTTTTAACAGATCCATTACAATTTTTATAGTGCGTTTGACTTGAAAATACGAGCTATAGGGTTTTATTCCACTCACTGCACTGCCTTGAGACTTTGCTATTCTTTGCCTAGTCTCTTTTTATTCTTTGCACATATCCTTTTCCCAAACACTAGATGCAGCATTGTGACAAAAGCTTTGCAGTCTCTAAGCTGTAATGACATTAAAAGCATTGGCAGAGGTGATGCCGAGCTCCAATCTAGACAACACAAAGACAAATTTTCCACCCTCGCGGAGAAGAAAGCATCACTCCTTTTCATCTCGGTGTCTTTAAGGCATCCATGACGGATTTGGGATCACCTTTGTGGTCAGTGGAGGTTTAACAGATGCGGGGACTCAGCCTGTTAATCTGTCACTTCACATAAGAAACACTTATTGCATATGCTAATTACTGGAGAATTAGCAGAGCCTCTGAAGTTTGCGTGACTCTTTGGTGACATCTTTTTGGCTAAGTCATCTTCTTACACACAATAGGATGCTACTGCAGCTGCTGTCTGCCTCTGTTTACTAGTCAGTTTTCTTACCGAACGCAACAGCCAGTATAATTTGTTTAGAGCGCCCCGGTCTCACTGCCTGACAATATTTTGAAGCTTGGGAGTGATGGAGAAGGGGTTGGGGCATCACAACCTGTCTTGCAGTGCCGGCAGCTCCCCATAGCAGTTGTTTATGCTGTCGAAAACCGAAGCCAGCCAAAATGAAAAAGGTTATATAACACCTTTCTTTTGGATAGAGACCAATTCCTCCAGTCTGCTACCAGTGCTGTAGGTATAGGCCAGAGGCAAAGTAGGACTAATGAGCATGAATATGTGCACCATGGCTGATGTGATTTTCATACATACAAAATGTAGTGAAATATTACCTGATATGTTGCACCATTGTAATGCGTTGACAAAGACGCCAACATTTGCCCACAAGCATAACTTTGCTGTAATCGTCATTGCTCTGTGCTAATGCCCCACTGTGAACAGGAATAACTAATATATTCAAATTTTGTGCTGCACTGTTGATTGGTGCTGGTATTTTGGTGAAGGCAGCTGGGTTGGCCGCTTGCATCTGTATGTTGCTTTGCACAAGGGGAGCGGTAATGCTGCTGCTTTTCCTATTTTTGAACCAGTTTACTGTTTAAAATCTACATTTAAAGGACTAGTTTTGCAGACCTAATAATAAGTCTCCCTTTATTTGCAGACTAACAATGACCAATCAACGTTATACTTCTTCATGTGTTCTTTTAAAGATTTTGTTTATTTTGATCACTATATATATCCTTACATATTAAAGTTATTTTTGGCATTGCAGTTTTAGTCACTGTATGAAATGAGGTTATTGCAGTCAGATTTAAAGATACTATATTGCACAGAATCTCTTGTGAGCTCTTGTGAGAAAGTTGTTACCTCCTCAAAAACATACCTGGCCTGAAATTATCCAAATGATTCTAGTTAAGATGTATGGAGCCCTTCCTGTATTACCACCTGACATCACAAGGTGGAACAGAGTGTTTTCTGTTGAGAGAAGAATCCAGCCAGAACTATGTGCTGAACTTATGTGCATGAAACAAAACACAACTCCAGGTATCTTTTGGATATGGAAACTGCATTATAACATAAATCAGAAAATAGTGGGTCCTATGGACCCTTTAAATATTACATACATTTTTATTCTCCATTTGTGTGCTAGTTTTTGTTTTGAAGCCACTGAAGACATTCGTACCCGTCTTGGCCTTGTCATCCCTTCACTTGTCTCCATATAAGTGGCAGCATGACTGGTACATATTTT